CCACGGGCTGCTCACCAGTACGGGAGCCGAACATGGTTTGCGGATGAGGGCTCAGGGATTTGGGGGTTTATCAAGGGAGTCTACCTTGAATCCCTAGGGTTATACCCTTGGGTTTGGGGACCCTGTTAACGATCTTGAAGGGAAACTCCTAGGGGTACAACCTTAGGGCTGCGGATCTTAATCCCGTGAGTCTAGGATGGGTTTAGCTCCAGCCCTGACACTGTGCAGCCTGCATTAAGCTTCAAGCCCACCCCCAGCCCCCAAGGGTTTAGGGTTTGGGTTCAGTGCTTAGGGTTTAGGGACATAGCCCTGAAGCCGCGGAAAGATGCTGGAGGGTGTTGGGCTTTAGTTTTCCGTTTTTTTTTGCGTGCGTTTGTGCTGCCATAAACATCAAATGCTTGGCATCTTCGCCTCCGCAATCACTTCCAGAAGCCGCATTGTGCTGGTTTAGGGTTTCAGGGTTTAGGGCTTAGGGTTTAGTAATTTAGGGATTAGGATTTAGTGCTGTAGGTTCCTAGATGACATTGCAATCTCGTATTCCAACACGGCTGCATCTTGTGACAGGAATCGTGGCAGCACTTCATGAGACTGCGTGTTGTTATGAACTGTCGTTGTTCATATGGTTTATTTGCCATTGTTGCGGTTATTTGTGCTGCTCGGGACTGCTAGGGAATGTTGTGGTCTTGCTAGATAGTTGTTCACAGGAAGTACATGACATATGTACATTATATACAACGTTGCATATGTATATATATATATATATACTGAATTGTTTAGGGCCTATGCACCTTTTCATGAAACGCTTTGTCATGTAAAACGGGATGGGCTTAGGGTTGAGTGATGCTGGTATAGTTTCCAAGTCCTCGGGCGTATCGTTCCAAACTTCAACCATTTTTAGTTCAGCAAAAATCAGGACAAATCAGAGAAAGGCAGAACATCACAAGAAATTCAAAAACAACCAAAACTCACCTAAAATAATTATGCAAATCATAAAACAATAACTACAGCCAAGCAACCCAGAGGCATGTACAGGCGCACACCCCGCAATTGAATTCGTTTCCGAACTTATTTGTGCCCTGGCCTGGGTCCAAATCGAAATAAATCTGAACGAATCTTAAAATGTTTCTGGTATTAACAAGACCCAGTCTTATCAGGACAGGGTATCTTAAGTTTAGCGGGTTTGTGGGCACCCTCAACCCTCAACCCCAAATGCCAAATCCCCGGATGTTCCGTGGCCGTTTGGGTGCTCAAGAAACTCGCACAGCCGGACGTATCCAGCTCAGACTCCAGCGTCCCGACAAGGCGCCACAAGATCGGCAACATGGGTGTAGGGTTTTGGGTTAAGTTAGGTCCCAGGATTTTTGGGTGTATGTATGTCTATAAATATGCGCATGATCTCTCATGTATATGTGTATATATATATATATATATATGTATGTATATCTGTCTGTCTTTATTTCTTAACTAGCCCTTTATATAGGCTGGGCTCCTGTGCCAAGCTCCCGGGTTTAGGCTGTAGGGACTGTAGGCTTTACCTGGGACTCTCTTTACCTACAGTTTAGCAGGTAGGTAGAACCCATCAAGCTGTAGGTAAAAAGGGTCCCAGGTAGGGTTTTGGTTTAGGGGCTTTCGGCTTAAGGATTTCAGCTCTCTTCTATTCTGGCCTGTCTGTCTTGTACCATGCACCAACAACTCCAGTCGCGGGTGAGCCTCTGACTTGACCATACGCCTGTTCATAAATAGCCCTAAACCTTAAACCCTAAACCCTAAGCCCTAAACCTTAAACCCTAAACCCTAAACCTATAGGCCCTGAACCACAAACCCTAAACCCCAAACCCAAAGCCCAAAAGCGATCAGCAGCTCAATGCATGTGCTTACCCAGACCCCTGGGAGGATCCAAAACGTAGATCCCCATAAGGGTTCCTAAACATACTTGCATCGGTTTAGGGTTTAGGGTTTATGGTTTAGATTCAGGGTTTGGGGCTCTACGGTTGGGATCCTCCCAGGGGTCTGGGAAATCAAAGTCACGGAGAATCTCAATGCGCACAGAAACGCGACCGAGCTCCTAGAGTAGCCCATCGTTGTCAATCACACGCTGCCAAGGTACAGGGCTATTGGCGTTTAGGGTTTAGGGTTTAGGGTTACTGGAGTTTAGGGTTTAGGGCTAGCCCTAAACCCTAAACCCTAAAACCCCCAAACCTCTACTGTCCCCCTCTGGCAAGGCCTCTTTGCCGACATGCAGCTTGCACCAGTCTCGGCAGCTCTTCCCGCAGCTGGGCGGCAGCTTGAGAGGGTTTCAGGGTTTAGGGTTTAGGGTTTAGGGGTTTAAGTTTAGGGGTTTAGGGTTTAGGGTTTAGGGGTTTAGGGTTTAGGGGTTTAGGGGTTTAGGGGTTTTTTAGGGTTTAGGGTTTAGGGGTTTAGGGGGTCTAGGGGTTTAGGGGGGGTTTAGGGGTTTAGGGTTTAGGGGTTTAGTTTTTTAGGGTTTTAGGGGTTTAGGGGTTAGGGGTTTAGGGTTGAGGGGTTTAGGGGCTCAGGGGTTTAGGGTGGTTCTAGGGGTTTAGGGGTTCAGGGTGGTTCTTACTGGGGGTGGGGGTTGCGAGAAGAAGGGACCCCCCCAATGTAGTTCCCCCAAAATAGTAGGGACCCCTTATAATAAGGACCCCAATCCCCAAGTCAGGGTCCCGTTCTAAATCAGGGTCCCCGCTACCCAGATCCTTGGGAGGAGTCCTAAAAGGTAAACCCCCCAAACAGTCCCCTGTACAACTATTGGGTCAGTTGTAGGAGCCTTTCGGGGGATATACTTTTTTGGATCCTCCCAGAAGTCTGGGGAGATGGTTCCAAATCAGGGTCCCGCTGCTCTTGGGGCGGGACCCTTGTTCATCGAAATTGGCAAGCGATTCCAGAAGAGGCTCATCTGAGGACGCAAACAGGACAACCCCTCCCATGTAGGGTTGCCCATGATCGGGGTCTTTGTTTGGACTTGCAGTTCCCTAGGCGTTCCAGTAGATCCTAAGCAAATGAACCTACTACAGTCGAAATGTGTTCGAGGTAGGTTCCTGGAGCATGTCTAAATTTTCCCTTATTGGGTTTAAGAGCAGGAATATTCTTCAGGGGGCCAGCTGGGGTGTAACTCTGAAGCTCTTAGCTCCAAAGACTCTACCAGAAGCTCCGTGGCTCCCCACGTTTTGAGTGCTTGGGTGCTTGGGCGTTCGAGGCCGTTTATTAGGGATGGTTGCGCCGCAGGGTGTTTGCGGGGATCAGTGTTTAGCGGCCCCTTGAAGCCTGAAGTGCCAAAACCCGAAACCCGAAACCCGAAACCCCAAACCCCAAACCCCAAACCCCAAACCCCAAACCCCAAACCCCAAACCCCAAACCCCAAACCCCAAACCCTAAACCCTAAACCCTAAACCCCGAACCCTAAACCCCAAACCCTAAACCCCAAACCCTAAACCCGAAACCCTAAACCCCGAACCCCAAACCCTAAACCCTAAACCCTAATCCCTGGCCCTTGAGGTGGTGCCGGCCGCGCCTGCTCCGCGCGTCGCCACACCAGCCCCTGCCGGCTCCAAGGTGCGCGGAGCTCTTAGGGTTTTTAGGGCTTGTAGGGTGTTGAGGGCTTATAGGTCTTTAGGGTTTTTAGGGCTTGTAGGGTTTTAACGGCTTGTAGGGTTTGTTTGGTTTTTTTAAGGGTTTTTAGGGCTTGTAGGGTTTTAAGGGCTTCTAGGGTTTATTTGGTTTTTTAAGGGTTTTAGCCCTATCTTTCGGGGTTTGTAGGGTTTTTAGGGTTCGTAGAGTTCATGGGGTTCTTAGGGTCCGGGTTTGTAGGGTTTTTAGGGCTTATAGGGCTTTTAGGGTTTATAGGGTTTTTAGGGTTTATAGGGTTTTGGGGTTTTAAGGGCTTACAGGTTTTTGTTGGGCTTATAGGGCTAGTAGGGCTTATAGGGTTCATTGTTTTTTTTTCTTAAAGGGTTCTTTGGGTTTTTTTAAAAGATTTTTTTGAGTTTTTTTCTTTTGGGGGGGGCTTATAGGGTTTTTAGGGTTTATTGGGTTTTTGGAGTTTTTTGGGCTTATAGGTTTTTAGGGTTTATAGGGTTTCGGGTTTATAGAAACTTTATATGGCTTAGAGCTTATAGGGTTAATGGATTATGAGGGTTAGGGTCTACAGGGTTTAGTGGTGTGTAGACTCGCAGAGCTTTGAGGAGCTGGGGAAATTGGGAGTTCTGCAGGCTGTTGGGGATTTTTAGAAACTCTGGGTGTGGGGTTTGGGGGTGTGGGCTGTGGCCTGTGGGGATGCACAGCTGCGCCCGAGCTTTTGCATGCATGGGCCTAGGGTAGAGAACTGGCTGCGCAAAGGGAAGCTGTTCTAGGACTGCTTATCGCCGCATTTGGGGTGCCCATAATCCGACCCAAACCTCCAACACCCCTGAATGAAGCAAAATAGCTTGAACTATATCAAGGGACCTGTGCTAAGGGCCCCTCAACCCAAACCATTTACGCCTTACACTTTAACTTCTTACACCCTATACTATAGAACAATAAACCCAGCCACCCAAACCCACGAGCCTTCAAGCAAAACCTGACTCCTTGAATGCCGAGGCGTCTCTCTGAGGGAGCACCTTATGTCCCGAACCCCTGAAAACCCTGCAGCCCTATACCAATAAAGCGCTACAACCTCCACAAGCCCTATAAGTCCGTTGAATCCCACAAAAACACGGACCCGAAGCTCACTCGAGCAGGACGGTGCATCGTGTGCCGTTGGGGCAGTCGCTGCGGCTGCAGCTGCCTGCTACGTACGGAACGGGCGCAACTCGCGCGTCGCAAAGGTAGGCCGCCACTCGGACATCATTGGTAAAAGGAATGCATGGAGCAGCCCTTGAATAGAACCTGCTATTATGAAGTTTGTTGTTTTAAAGAACTTGTTTAGTTGTATTCAGTTAAAGGACGGCTTTTTGAACGGTTTTTCCACTATTCGCCTTTGAAGAGTATGAGGTTGGCAGCAGATGCCCGCGACAGAGAAGGCGCAGAAGAAGTCCGAGACGGCGCAGAAGAAGTCGATCCTCATCCTTTCTATGTCCCTGCTGCAGTCTGCTCTATTCTTCGGAGGCTTCACATCTTGCGTCCAGGTTTAACATGTTCTGGATGATGCATATTTTGCCATGAGCACGGTCACACACACACACACGTGCAGGCACACATGATTGTGTCTAGACTTTGACGACTGTCACTGCATGTCCAACAGGATCAGGACGAGTGCCACAAGCGCTTGCGTGTCTCTCTGTAGTCGGAGCAAGACACTTTCTCGCTACTGCGATTTTGCTGGGTCCCACCATACCGAAACCCCTCACCCTCTCGACCTTAAACCCTTACAACCTTCTGGCCGAGCGGAAGCCAAGCCATGGATACCCCTCCGTATGAGACAAATGTCCCACAAGGGACCATACTTCAGAAGACTCTTCCCAAAGTCTCAAGCAACCCTAAACCCTGAACCCTGAACCCTAAACCCTAAACCCCAAACCCTAAACCCTAAACCCTAAACCCTGTGCCTTAAATCACTGCTCGAGTCCAGAAGGCCCGAAGCCCAGACACTTCTACTAAGCTCAACAAGCTGAACTTCGAGGGTTCTGAAGGGAGGGGGGTTCAAGGGGGGTATGTAACTCAGGTTCCCTAGGTACCTACCCCCTGAACCCCCCTCCCTTAAGAACCCTAAACCCTAAACCCTAATCCCTAAACCGTACACCCTACACCCTACACCCTAAACCCGAAACCCTAAACCCTAGACCCTATAATGAGAGCCTTCCATGCATGGCCTCCACCGAGGAAGCTTGACCCGAAGATGGACGTGTTCATGAAGGACCGCTCCGTACTTGGAGGTTCAGGGTACTTATAACCCCGGTTTAGGGTTTAGGGTTTAGGGTTTAGGGTTTATAACTGTACTTACAAGCCCCCTAAGTCCTCTAAGTAGGTTATAAGTGGGTTTAGAATTGGGGTCATAGGTACCCGTGAACCTCCTAGTAGGGCCCTGTTGGCTCGCCTACTGGCCCTAAGCCTGAATTGCCTCATTTTATGGCCCTCAATCGCAACACCTGGCAACTTGCAGAACTTCTCCAAGAAGTACGGCGAGGGATCCATCATGAGCCGCAGCCTTGGCATCCAGGATATGTCGATAGGGTTTGCAGAGTTTCGGGTTCTACGTGAGGCCGCGCACGGAGCTGTTGCTCTAGTAAGTACTCTAGTGCGTGTCTTGCTTGAAGACAAAGTCTCAGACTGTGTGGGGTTCAGGGATTTAGGACCTTTGTGTTTCTTTACAAGTAGCATTTACGAGTTAAGGGTTTAGAGTTTAGGGTTTAGGCGGTTGGGCGCTCAAGGGCTTTAAGGCCTTCAGGGCTTACGGGTTCAAGAAGGACTTCATGGCTTCGGGGTGTCTAAGGCTGCAAGGCTTTTTTCGTGCTTAAGAGTTTTTGGAGGTTTGGGCCTCTAAGCCCTAAACCCTGTAATCCCCTCATGTGCTTGCAGAATGCCGATGAGGGTCGGGGGCTTAGTATGCCCTTAGACCCTCAAGCTCTCTCCCTACGTCCCTCTATGCATTGAGTCTGCCCGATCGGATCCGAGACTTGAACAAGTTCGACGCGGATGTGCCAACCATCTCGACAGGCCCCAGCCCTGCTGCTCTCTGTTTCGGGCTCAGGGCTTCGGCTCAGGGTTTACTAAATCAGAGGTCTCTCTTTCACTAGGACCCGGAGTAGGCCCTTATTTCCTTTTTTTTTGGTTGGGGTTCCCTTATGATCTTAACACCAAATGGCTACCCTTTTTGTTCCTAGGTTACTCCTGGGTCTAGCTCATGGTTTGGTATCGCTTACCAAAAGCGGCCTAAAACAGGCCCCGAATCATCTTCAATAAGGTTGCTACGGGACATCCGAAGCTCGATCGGGGATTCTGGTTTATGGTTTAGGGTTTAGGGTTTAGGGTTAGGGTTTAGGGTTTAGGGTTTTCAACCACCCATGTATCCAACAATTCTGCCAGCCGGTGGTCGATTTTCGAAAGGTGCGCTTGTCAAAGCCCTATCCCTCAACCCTAAACCCTAAAGGCCCAAACCTGTGGAGGCCGCGAGGGTGGTCGAAACGCGCAACAATCCCGAGGCCGAAAACTATGAAAATTCAAAGCGGGACATGAAGAGAACAGAAAGTAGCAAAGGAAAAAACCAACCTCCGCCTAAAAACCCTTCACCCTTCGCAACACAACACAAAACGGTGAGGGCAAGGGCCCTTCGCGCCGTTTCCTGAAGCATCCTACACTTACTTCGCCTTTAGCTGAACTTTAAACTTTTTGGGTTTCCTTTTTTAGTAGGAATATTAAAGTTTAACCTTTTTTCCCCTTGGTCATTGGAGAAGTAAGTACAGGCGCCTTGACACTGGACTTGAAGCTGGGCGGTGGCGTGCCCTATGGCCGGACGCTGGGACTGCACTTGCGCAGCTTTCTCAGGGGTTTTGAGGGTTTTGGGCCAAGCGGTAGAAGGTCAGTTCCCCCAAAGAATGGTCCGTGCTTGCACTTCGACCCTATGCCCCCCCAGCACATGCTGGTTTGCGATTTCCTCCGTGAGTAGGTTCCTTTCCCGCGATGCTCTAAATTGAAACCAGAATAAGACGAATAAGACCTCACCCTAAACCCTACACCATAAACCCTGAACTCTCCAGCCTTATGTGTGTGTGCGCACCCAGTCACAAGGATCGTTGAAGTCTACGGCCCGGAGCAAAGTGGCAAAACAACGCTTGCACTCTCCTGCGCGTACCAGGCAGGGGGCGCCCCCCCAAAAAACACAAAACAAACAACACCGACTGTAACTCCTATATTGCCCGTTTAAGGAAGAAGACTCTAATTTTCGTGGTTCTTCAGCAATTGGTAGCGCTTCGTAGGGCTTTCGAGTGTTGTTATCATCGTGAGGTCAGGGCTCACACTCCTGAGGAACGCTTTGTGGTCACGAAAACTTGGTTCCCCAAATCTGTAGCTACCACGCAGGTTAGATCCAAAAATGAGGCCCCGATGGTACCCAAGCTGGACGGAACAGACTCTTCTCAGATGGTTCTGGTGCCTCATGGACATGTTTGGGTTTCAGGGTTTAGGGGTGTTGCGGCCCTTGACTCCCTGGGCGTCGAAGCATGTGGATCCGAAGTTTTCAGCAACTAACCCCATACAAGCCCTAAACCCTAGCAGGCCCCCAGACATCCCCAGACCCTAAAGACCCGAAGCCCTGCGACAGCCCGAGCAGGCGCAACAGAGTGGCAACCGCAAGCGCGTGGCATTTCTGGATGCCGAGCAGGCTGGGACACACAACATAGGCCATGGTCTCTGGCTCGGCCTTTTTTTTTTTTTTTTTGGGGGGGGGGGGAGGTTGAAGGGCTAAGTGGCGGGCTTCGGGATTCACGGGCTTGGGGGGTTTAGGGCCTTTCAAACTAGGCCCTCAACCCTAAACCCCTTTTTTCTAGATTTCTTCGTGTAATCGCAGCCCTTATGTAAAGGAATCCCTAGACCCGAAACGCTACTGGCCCTAACCCCGAAAACCCAAAGAACCCTCCTAAGCTCTACAACTCCAAAAGCCCCTAAACTCTAAACGGCTCAGTACTACACATGCCATGAGCCCTCTCGGGTTCAAACCAGACTTGCCTCCAAGCCCCTGAGAGAAAAAGAATTCGCGGCTGCCTACATACAAACCCTGAGCCCTAAGCCCTAAGACCTAAACCCTAAACCCTAAACCCCTAAACCCCAAACCCCTAAACCCCTAAACCCCAAAACCCCTAAACCCCTAAACCCTAAACCCTAAACCCTACAGGCCCTGGACAGATATCTGGCAAAGAACATGGGCCTCGACCTCTCCCCTGTGGCTTGGGCTTCGGGGTTCAGAGACTTCCGTAATTTGAGGGCTTCAAATTTGGGGTTTAGGGTTTAGGGTTTAGGGGATAGGGTTTAGGATTTAGGTTGAGGGCCTTGGGGGGTCAGAGTCTCAATCACTTAGGCCCGAAAGCCCAGAGGTTTGGAGGGAGGCACTTAAACCCGAAACCCGACTGTATTCGGAGCATGGATTAGAGTTTCCGTTCTGCGCATGGACTTGATGTACTTACACGCACGGTGCTGCAGACCAATTGCAAGACACCTCTTTGAACAAAGAGGGTGAGCTTTGAGCCATTGGGTCGGTGTGTAGACTTGAGGAGATTGAAGCCCCGTGACGGAACATGTGATTTTGAGGAGAAGCCTCACGTGTTCTAAGCGTTCTCCCCTCTATGCTCGCCAAGGGGTTTGTAAAGGCGACCTTGTCTAGGTTGTTCTGCATAAATATGCAAGGGAATCGGCTCTGGCTCCCGTCAGTAAAGGGTTTGCGAGTTGGCAGCAGCGACCCCAAACGCTAAACCCTAAAACCTCCGTTTGACGTTGGCGTATCAGCATTCAGTACTTCAATAGCTATGAGACTCGGGCGGAATTGGGATCCAGATGCAAAACCAAGTCATTCCCGCGATTCAACATCAAGCAAAGCCTCCAATTGCCGAATCTGCCAGCATTGTTCGCAAGCAGGATCGCTTCACCTTTTTGTGCGCCGGTTTCGCTGAGGAGGCCAGCTGAACTCGGATCCCAGAATCGAGTTTGGTTCTTGGGTTTAGGGACCTCAAAGCTCAGAGCATCTTCAGCGTCAGCTGTGTACTCACCTTACTGTCACTTGCTGTTCGCAACGGGCTTCTGCGTCTAAACTCTAAACCCGAAACCGCCCTAAACCCCTAAACTCCTATGTAAACCTTGGAGTCCAGGGAGCACGGTTATCAGACTTTTGATTAAGCTCAGATTGTTTTCGTCGTCATTCTTCTCAATCTCATTATTGCCAGCATGAAAGTCTCTCTCATTGGCCAGTAGTCTCATTGGCACCATTATTAAGACCATTACCATTGTTGTCATTGAGTCATTGACATCACGATCGTATTATCATCATTGTTGTCATTCCTTGCTGTGATTTTTTGCTGTTCTTGTCCTTATTCCCATGAGGATCGTTACGACCATGATTATCATTGGCTTCTTGGTTGGGGCCTAGGTCTTACGCGTAGACTTCAAACCCCGAAGTGGCTGTATTCCCTGCGCCCCAAACTTCAACTCTGGGTCAGCATGACGATGCCCCGAATGCGACTGCCAGGCCCTTGTCCAGAGGAGAATAAGCATAAAGGGCTTTGGGTTAAGGTTTAGGGTTTAGGGTTCAGGGTTCAGGGTTCAGGGTTCAGGGTTCAAGGTTTAGGTAGAGTCTTTTTGGGCTTTCGGTGAAAGTGCCATGGATGGCACCCCCCCACACTTGCAAACGCGACTGCCACCCTCTGCGCTCGGAAGTCTCGCCAGCATGCAGTCAGCCAGATGGCCAGCAATTGAGCCAGGTCTCGACCCAAGATTCCTGCTGTATCGTGCTGTATACATGTACCCCAAACCCTAAACCCTAAACCCTAAAACCCTAAAACCCTAAAACCCTAAACCCTAAACCCTAAACCCTAAACCCTAAACCACCTGCCGAGAGGCATGCGACCAGCTCCTGGATGCCATAGAATCCAAGCTTCGCAGCTGCAGAGAGCATGGCGACGAGCTACTCTTTGCTTAAGCACCCCCCCCCTAAACCCTAAACCCTAAACCCGAAACCCTAAACCCTAAACACTAAACCCTAAACCCTAAAGCCTAAACCCTAAACCCCCAAAAAAAAGAAACGATTATAACCCCTGCATGGCCCTTATGGGAATGATAATAAGAATAGTAGTCGTAATCAATAGAATCATCCCTACGGTACGCTTCTAAGGAAGAACATCTATTTTTTTATCCACCACTTTCGGTGTGGGGCTGTTAGATTTTAAACTCAACTCTTCTCCTCGCCGGAACTCTTCTCCTCGCCCGGTCTACTCCTAGAGACTCCCTGGAGTGCCCGACCCCAGAGACTCCCTGCAGTGCCCAACCCCAGAGACTTCAGCTGAAATGCCCAACCCCAAATCCCTAAGGCGGGGATGTTCGAAGTAATATATGTATATATATATACATATATATATATCTTCTATTTGTTATTTGTTTTGCTTTTGTTTTTTTCTTTTGGGGGGGGGGGGTTCTTAAGCAATTAGTAGCTAAGAACCCACAGTGGCATCATAGTGGTTTCCGACAAAGTCGGAGGGGTACCTTATTGGGGTCCTTATTGTAAGCGGGTCCTACTATTTGGGGGTCTATATCAGGGGTCCCTTATTTTCGTCGCCTCCCATATGGGGCTTATAAGCCTGATGGGGCTTACGTGGGATGATTATCAGTGCAAAGTGCTGGGCTTACATGTGGGTATGATTTTGGCGTGTATAACGGTTTCTTCTTGCGTTTAGGGTCTATGACCCCCTAGAGTGGCACTTACATTCTCTTCTAGGGCTTCTGGTTCTCTGATTGAACCTCTTGTTGGCAAAACGAAGGTTCTCTTTTTGCCTAGGTTGTTGGGGAAACGAGAAGATGAATCTCTCTGTTCAGCGCGTTCGTTGCAATAGCAACAAGGGTTTAGGGTTTAGGGTGATGTGTAGGACATGTAGGTGTGTCTCGCTAGAGCCCTCCGCGGTGTGGTCGTCCGCGCTTTAGTGTTTCTCAGAAGAAGAGTCGCCCAGCTCCCGTGTGATGTAGGCATACAAGCCATGTGAAGGTGCTTCGACATTGTGATCTTGGACAGCGTGGGTGCCCTCACCCCGAAGGACGAGCTGGATAAGGACATGACGCAGGCGGGTCCTCACCCAAGTCTGGGGTAGCTTTGTTTAGGTCTTGAGGAGAGGATGGCGGGGCTCCTTAGATAGTGGTGGGTGGGTTTATCAGTTTTTCTGTGAGGTTTCCCTTTCGGGGTACTAGTACTAATACCTGGCTACCTGCACAGATTCCACTAACTCTGAAGCATCTGACTCCACGATCCTTATTTCGATTTAGGGCTTACATTTTAGGGTATAGGGTTTAGGGTTTAGGGTTTAGGGTTTAGGGTCTAGTTTCTTATGGTTCAGGGTGCGGCGTTGGTTAGCTGAACCCAGTGTTGTGAACATGCCTGCCAAACCCCATCCAGCCAAACCAAATTTCGCATCCAAAAGGACTGCTCTCATGGAAAACGGCTCCACAAGCATACCGAAAAACAATGTGTCTGGTAGGCAAGTTTAAGTTGCAAGGTTCCCCCGGGGGGGGGTATTCTAGGGCCCAGGGTCTTCTTCACCGAATATATCTTTGATTTTTCTGAACACTTTTTTACGTTCGCATTTCGGCACTCCTTGTAGCAAGCAATTGGTCCGCTGCCTTCCGGGCCCTCCAGGGTCCTCGGCATGACAGGATCTACCTGAAATGGAAGGTTTCCATCCAAGCACAAGCAGTAGGCACTTGGAGTGTTGAGGGGTTGAAGGCTGGTCCTCTCCGGTGTTGGTGGTTATCCAGGGTACGATGTGTATGCCGCCTTAATAGCACTCCGAGCAGCTCAACCCGCCTTGCTAGAACACCATCGGACTCCTGGCGCGCACCATGAGCAAGTTCTTGCGGAAAGCCGTGCACCTCGTCAGCATCAGATGATTCAACAGCATTCCTTATCAGGTCGCCTGCTCAAAAAAGACACCCTTCCCAGAGCAGTTTTTGCACTGGGCAGTGGGAGTAGCACTGGACACACCCAGCAAAGAACGATCCAGTTTGGAACGGGCTCACAGTAAAACCCACACTAAGCCCTAAACCCTAATCGGCTGTCTGTCATCCCAAGCCCTAACCGCGAAGCTCGAAACCACGATGCTGAGGAAGGTTGTAGCGGACTCTGACACCTGCCTCTTGATCATCAACCAGCTCAGAGCCAACATTGGAGGCATCGGTGCACTTCCTGGTGGGGTTATTTGGGGGGAGGTGGAGGGGGTGGGGGCGCGGTTAGGGTTTATATGGTTTAGGCTTTATATGGTTTAGGGTTTATATAGTTAAGGGTTTATCCCCGAATGTCGGGCAAGAGGGATGATGCTTCACCATGTACCGCCAGTCCGTGTACTCAACAAGAGCTTCTGAATGATCTTGCCATTGACGAACCGTGACACACTAACACCAAATCCTTAAACCCGCTAAGCCCAAACCTAAACCCTCTAGCAAATCTTACACCTCTCTAAACCCCAAACCTTTAGACCCTAAACCCTAAATGGGCAGTTCTCAAAATCATGGCCTTTTTTTTTGTACCCTAAAATTGGGCCGCCTGATAATAGCGACCCCTAAAGGGACCAGAATTTAGAGAAGTAGACCAAATGTGGCGAGGCTACGGCAATCCTGAGACAACCTGCGGTGGCAAAGCCCTTCCTTATCATGCCAGCATGCGCCTGGAGGCCGGCGTTGGGTCAGGGAGGGTTTCGGGTTTAGGATGTAGGGTTTAGGGTTTAGGGTTTGGGGTTTAGGGTTTAGGATTTAGGGTTTAGGATTTCGGGTTTAGGGTTTACCCCGTTCACTCAATCCAAAACACTCCCAGGGTGCAAACTGAGGTGGTGCATGAGAAGACCGTGTATAAACGACCCCACACACACCAGAGCAATATAATAGTAGCTAAGCCCTACATGATCCCCCTAAACCCTAAACCCTAAACCCTAAACCCCAAACCCCCTAAACCCTAAACCCCATACAAGCCCCCTAAGTCCCTAAACCCTATACAACCCTAAACCCTATACAAACCCTAAACCCTAACCCTAAACCCTCAACCCTAAACCCTAAACCCTGAAACCCTAAACCCTAAGCCCCAAACCCCGAAACCCTGGTGCTCTCCCAGGTCCGCTCTCCGATGTCCGGAAAGATGGGACCTGCGGAGATGCTTGACATCCCCACAAATTAGGGAGTTTAGGGAGTTTTGGGTTTGGGGTTTAGGGTTCAGGGTTGAGGGGTGTAGGGTTTAGGGCCTAAGGTTTAGGGTTTAGGGGCACTTTGATTAGGTTTCGAATCTGGTATGTGTTGATTCGACAATAAAGCCAATGCTAGTGTCTTGATTTTGTCTGGAAAGTATTGATGTCCAGACTTCATTTGCCAGCACGTACTGTTGGGTCGGGCTGGCAAAGACGGAAACATGCGGAAGTGACCGACTATGTTTCGCTTCCTTTATAAACAGTAGCCAACGCGCAGAAAGGGCCCCCCTCATTACTACACGGCTTCTAGGCTGCCACGAGGTTACACAGTTTGAGACAGGAGGGTTTAGAATCCCCGACCCTGAACCCTTAACTTTGAGACCTTCAGAGAACCTTGAGCTGAGAAGGGGTCTTGGCATCTTTCCCCATTGGGGGGGGTGGGGGGGTCGGGCTGCCAGGTCGAGATCGGATGGCTGCCTATGTGTTTGTATTGGTTTCGACTTCGAGTGAAACCACTGCCAGGGGTTTGATCAGACATACATACATACATACATACATACATACATAGTTATATGAGTTTTTAATTTACCATTGGTTGGATTCAATTGGTGCCCAATACAGTGTGGGCTGTGTGAAGGGCTTCGGGTTCGTGATTTGTGTGCTGCGTGAACGCTTGGTAGGAGACATCAGGTTTCAAGGGTTCCAAGCTCAAGCGGCTTAGAATTAGGGCTTGGAGTTTGGGCCTTAGGGCTTCAGATGAACCCTGTCATGCACCGAGGGAGCCCACCGGAATCCGCTCCGTCGTCCGAGTCAAGAAGAACAAGCTTGCCGCTCCGCACCGGAAGCACAGAAGCATTGTGCGGGAGTTGCTGGCATGTCTGGCCATTTTGGGAAACGCGTGTTTCCTGCATCAAGGGACTAAAGGAGGGACGCTTTTTAGGGACCTCAGGGGTAACATAGGGCAAGGTAGTGGCTATTCCGGGTCCCTAAACCCTAAGCCCCTAAACCCTAAACAGGGGCCCCTCCTTATACCCCTTAAGATCAATTGCCTTGTAGGGGCCGTAGGGTCCTGCGCTCCGGGGCTGTACAGGACTTAGCCAACCCCAGGGTTTGGGGTTTAGGGTTTAGGGTTAGGGTTTTAGGGTTTAGGGTTTAGGGTTTTAGGGTGTTAGGGTTTAGGGTTTAGACAAAAATAGTGTATGGAAGCTTGTAGCCCCAGAGCCTACCAAGTGATTGGGTGAGAACGCAACATGCAGTGAATGTTACCAACAGAGCAGGCAATCTGAGCATTCTGAGCGAGTTTGTCAAAATGCTGGCAGGTCATGGGTACCCCCAAGGGAAGTAGGACCTACAAATCGTGGCCCCATAGACCCTAAACCCTAAACCCCAAACCTTGTTTGGGCTTCCATCCCCCTCTGCCTAGGAGCCTTAGGTCCTAAACCCTAAACCCTAAACCCTAAACCCTAAACCCTAAACCCTAAACCCTAAACCCTAAACCCTAAATTTAAGAGCCTCCGGCTCAAGCCGCCGACCCCGCTGGAGCAAAGTTGAAAGGTTTAAACGCGCTCGTCAGCTCAAAGGATGCTAAAAGTTGATTTGCTTGAGCCTCTGTGAAACGTTGGGGGGGGGGGGGGGTAGGGGGTAGCACCAGGACCCCAGCAGGAGCGAGGGCAGCCCCATCAATTCAAGCCCAACAAATGGAGAGGGGGGGGGTGGGGGGGTAGGGGGGGGGGAGGGGGGGGGGGGTTAGGGGTTTAGGGCTTAGGGTTTAGGGTTTAGGGTTTAGGGTTTAGGGTTTAGGGTTTAGGGTTTAGGGTTTAGGGCTTAGGGTTTAGGGTTTAGGGTTTAGGGTTTAGGGTTTAAAGTTGTTTTTAAGCTTTAGACCCTTCACCCTCAAACCTTGTCCCTTTAACCACCCCTTCCTCCCCCACGAAAACATGCGAGCTTCCTAAGAGCATGTGTGTCTATTTCAGTTGATTCTTTTCGTTGTTTAGGAACCACATGCAATTGAGGTGTTCATGGTGTTCCACCCATTATAAACCCCCAAAACTCCTAAGTCCCAGAGCCCGAACACCAGAAAAGTCCTAAAGAAGAAGGGTCTAAAGCCCTAAAACTCCTCAGCACGAAGCCACTAACGAGGAAGGCCGAGTTTGACATCATCTTCGGCAAGGGCATCTCCTGGGATACCCGGTCGGCTTATACAGGGTTTGGGGTTAGTTTTGAAGGTTTAGGGCCTAGGGTCCCTAAACCCTAAATCCTAAACCCTAAGTTTTAAGTCTGTTGGGTTTTTGGGGCTTCGGCGGGGGAGGCTTAATTAAGGGTTTGGGGTTTCAAGGGCTAGGTTTTGGTGGTTGAAGAGGGCTTGTGGGAGCTTTTGGGCCCAGAGTCTGGGGGTTTAGGGCTTAGCGTTTGGGGTTTAGGGTTTAGGGTTTAGTTTAGGGTTTTGGGTTTTGGGTTTTGGGTTTTGGGTTTTGGGTATGTGGGGCTTCGGGTTGGAGGCACTCTCGGGCCCGGGTTGCAAGCATCACCTGAGGGGAGCGTACTCCAAGCACTTTACCCCGGCCCTTACTCCCTTGTTTTTTTAGGGTTTAGGGTTTAGGGTTTAGGGTAGCCCCTTTTTCCCCTTGTTTAGGGTTTAGGTTCCCTTACAAGCCCCTTGCAACCCACTTGGGCACCTTTTATTCTTACCTTACTCTTGGGTCTAGTGTGTGTGTGGCCAGCCCCAGAGAATCCAGGAGAACAGCGTCGTGGAGGCAGGCATTGACACGGGGCTGATCCACAAAGCAGGCTACGGGGCAGCATTGCAAAGAGCAGAGGGCTGAGAATAGAGTGAATTGGCCACCATGCGGAATCCCTGAACTTAAACCAAGTTGGGTTTAGGGTCTAGGGTTTAGGGTCTAGGGTCTAGGGTCTGGGGTTTAAAGGTTAGGGTTTAGGGTTTCGCGGTTCCCCCCTGCCTCTCCCCCACACACCTTCCCGAAATCTGCGGCGAGCAAGGGGTCATTAGAACCGCGAACCCCTGAGGGTTCAACATCCGGTCATGACACCCTAAACCTTAAACCCTAAACCCAAAGCCCCAAGCCCTAAGCCGCCCTAAGCCCTAAGCCCTAAACCAACCAAAAGGAGCCACTTGGGAGCAGGTAACACACACACCGAACAGACCTGCCCAAACCCAAAATCCTACACCCGAAGCTGGCCCTAAGCCCGATAAGCCCTAGTAGCCCTGCAACTGCTATACTAAGCCCTGTAAGCCCTCTAAGTCCTATAAGCCCTATAAAGCCCTATAAGTCCTATAATATGCCCTGTAAGCCCTCTAAGCCCTAAGAGTCCTAACAGCCCAGAAGCCCTAGACGCCCTGAGCGTCCTAAACCCAAGGGCCCCATCCCTAAACCCCAAACCCCAAACCCCAAACCCCAATCCCCAAACCCCAAACCCCAAACCCCAAACCCCAAACCCTAAACCCTAAACCCTAAACCCTAAACCCTGCTTTGAGCGCTGAGGCGCTTGGATGAGCTATGGCGAGCATCGAGTGCAGGGCAAGGCATGGCACCCTAAGCCCCAAAAGTCCGAAAGAAGCTCCCGAACCCCTGGGAAGCTTGAAAAATACTTGTAGCTCCTGACGCCTTACATAGAGCCCTAACCCTAAACCCTAAACCCTAAACCCTACTAACCTCAAACCCCAGGGTTCGAGGCCGCGCATGTAGGTTGTCGGGAAGAGGGGCTCTTCCCATCCTACCTCCCTGGAACCTAATGTGGGGGGTTCTCCTACGGTCCGAAATAATGCCCTTAGCCCAAAACGTTTACCCCTTAAACCCCCCAGTCTAGCCGGAGCTCACACTTTTATGGGATTTGTTGCTTAAGCCTCTGCTTGATTGTGCTTCTCAAGACGCCATCGACTACAGTTCTTCCAAGGATAGACACTCCTTCCTTTATCAATAGCAAGGTAGACCCTTTGGATGTGTTGCATATTTCCTGTATTGGGTGGACACCTTGTAATGAAGGCGTGAAGGCACCCCTCTGACCCCAGGTTAGGACCAACCTCCACACATGGGGGTTTACGACAATAAATAGACTCCAAATAGTAGGAATCCCTTCTAATAAGGACCCCAATAAGGTATCCCTAGTTGAGGACCAACCTCCACAACTAAGGCTTAAAACCCGGATTCTACTCTCAAGCCTCGAACTACAGCTGCACCATCCTCTTTATTATTACTCTTATGATGATGATGATTTTTATTACTATGTAATTTTTTCTATTTTGATTACTGTTAGTAGACTGGTATGGTGCATGATTGAAGGAGAAGATGCGTGACCTCCTGGAGGAGCATCCGGACGTGTGCAAGCGGCTTGGATGCGCCCAAGGGATGCCAGGGACACAGCATGGGGGGGTTTAGGGTTTAGGGTTTAGGGTTCAGGGTTCAGGGTTCAGGGTTTAGGGTTTAGGGTTTAGGGTTTGGGGTTCAGGGTTTGGGGTTTAGGGTTTGGGGTTTAGGGTTTAGGGTTTAGGGTACCTTATTGCGCCCCTTGTTGCAGGGGGATCCTACTATTTTGGGGGGTCTACATAAGGGGTCCCGTATTTTCGTACACTCCCGCATGGTCTCCAGCATTCCAAGCAGAAGGCAGACAACATAAATTCAAAACCAGCTGGACAGATCGCACAAGGCTTTGCCATAGACTGCTGATGCTTTTCGTGCGCCGTGACATCTAATTATGCACTTGCACGGTTGGAAAATCCAAACAAGCAGCGATCCGAGCTTCCCTCGGGGAATTGTGCTGTGGATTGACTTGGCTTTTAATACTAGAGCCCTAAACGACTAACCCTTGGCCCCAACCTCCTGAAACCTAAATCCTAAACCCTAAACCCTAAACCCTTGAGGAAACTGGAAGGTGACATTCGATCTGCCGAGCGACTTGTGCAGCAGCTTAATCGCTCACGCCCAGCGGGTTTTGAAACTTTGGGGTGTCTTTGGGTATAGGGTTTAGCGTTAGGGTTTAGGGTTATGGGTTAAGGGTTTAGTTAGGGTTTAGGGTCTAGGGTTCCTTTGGACGCAAGTTTCGGGGAGAGGGTTCGGGGGGCTCAGGGTTTAGGGAAGGACAGGTGCACGTACTTGGAGGTTCATGGTACGTGTTTACCACTGAGAAATGTACTTGTAATTGTACTTATAGCCATATTAGGGCACTTAAGGGGCTTTTAAGTACAGTTACAAGTACAGTTACAATTGGTGAATAAGTACCATGAACTTCCAAGTACCTTTGCCAGAAGTGAAGGAACTCGTGGCTACCTGCTGGCTCGGCAGATGCCATGCTGAGATCCTAAGAATGGGGTTTAGGGTTTAGGGTTTAGGGTTTAGGTTTTAGGGTTAACAGAAGCACCTCCAAGTAAAGACAGAGACTCCCCTGAACAACCCCAGCGGTTCCCTTTTTCCGTTTCTTGGGGTTCGGCTCCGTTCATTATCGCAGGGTGCCTGTTAAGGAAAGGGGCAGAATCCTAAACCCTAAACCCTAAACCCTAAACCCTAAACCCTAAACCCTAAACCCTAAACCCTAAACCCCTCAGCCGACGTCGGCCAGGAAGACTGAGGGAAGCGAGCTGGAGGAGAAGGTGGAGGTGGGGTCAGGGCCTCTTTAAAAGGTTGAAACAAGGGCGCTTGGGGGAGTCTAGGGTAGGTTTTGTGGGTATTTGGGCCTGCAGGGCCCATGGACCCCAAACTAAATTCAGGGTTTAGGGTTTAGGGTCATTAGAGGTCTTTGAGGGTTCGGTGAGCTTTTTAGTTTTTTGCCTCCACGCATCCTTGGCCACCATTTGCACAACCAGCTTGTAGGTGGTTTTTGAGGTTAAGGTTTAGGGTCTAGGGTTTAGGGTTAAGGGGTTTAGGGTTTAGGGTACTCGGCTTTCGGACCTCAAGGTTGCGGGGTCAGGGTGTCGGGCTGCTCCTGGTAGCCAGGTTTGAAGTCTTTAGGTTTCGGCATCTTGGTCACATTCTGAGTGACACCCTCTTCTTCTTGTTTTAGGGTTCGGGGTAAGGTCCCCTATGCACCCCTCTCAGCAAGAAAGGGTACGTACCCTGTTGAAGCCTAGGTTGCCGGGGAAGCAACAAATGATTTCAACCCCATGCTTTCCAAACCAGTTCTGCTCTTTGGGTTCAGGGTTCAGGGCTGCTCTCCAATGGCTATGTGCAAGGCTGAAAGGAGGCTGAGCATGAAAAACAGGGTTAAACTCCTTATCCGTTGGCAACGTGCACGGATGGCTGCAGACGTACACGTTCGTACTTCAAGCAGCGCCGTGCACGCGCGCATGTCGCAGCCAGGCGCCTCCTGCTCCGGAGCCTTCAGCTTCCTCCGCCGTCCCAGCCTGACTGACAACCGCCACACAGCAGTACATCGTCTGCTTGCAAGCTGCCACGATGGCAAACCCCAAGCTCGAAGTAATTCTGTGCGTCATGGGCGTTAGCTGCGTTAGCCTCATGTTCAAGTCCCAGACAAGCCTGAGCCTTCGAGCCCTGACAGCTTTGCCTGTCTGATAAGGTCGCTGCCCCAGTACTAGTGGAGAAGCTGCAATCGAAGGCACCCAAGGCTCCGCTCTATCTTTCGCATCATCCAAGGTGGTACTCAAGGCTTCTCTGGGGTTTAGAGTTGAAATTGCGCGGAGTGGCGTTGATCGAACGCTTTGTCTTCCATGATGAGCTCGGTTTCCAAACGTGCTCCGCTTCGGGAGCTCCGCGAATGGCTGCACGGAAAGAAGAATGGGGTTAAGTATGGTAGGATGATCTGTGGAGATGTTGAGCATGTTGCATGCAGTGTTGCCTTCTACGCGCGCACGCATGTCGCAGCCAGGCACCATCTGCTCCTGAGCCTTCAGCATTCGCCGTCCGACACTGAATGAGAACCGCTGCAGCTTGCACAGCTGCCACGATGGCGAACGCCAAGCTCGAAGTAATTCTGTGCGCCGTGGGCGTTAGCTTCAAGTTCAAGTCCGAGAAAAATCCCTCAGCCTTCGAGCCCTGACAGCTTTGCCTGTCTGAAAAGGTCGCTGCCCCAGCGGAGAAGCCCCAGTCGAAGGCACCCCAGGCTCCGCTCTATCTTTTGCGTTAAGGTCAAGGGGTTAGAGGTTGAAATTGCGTGAAGTGGCTTTGATGAAAAGTTCTGTCTACCATCCATCACGAGCATGCTTTCCCAGCATGCTCCGCTTTGGAGGCTCCTCGAAGGGCTGCACTGACTTGCTCTAAACGAACTGGAGGATTACGGAATGGCTGGCTCCGTGATTCGGTTCGGTTGTCTGAGGGTCAGAGGAAGTAAGCTTCATTGGTTCTGAATCGATCCAAATCACTCCTGAACCCCAGATTTCGTATGATAAAGCAGAGGCATCTGAGGACTGCACGGGCCAAAAACTTTGGTTTTGGTTGTGGGAGTTAGGCGTTAGACCATGTTTTTGCAAACTTGCTGTGTTAGCTGTACTTACAGGCGTAAAGTAGTTGGTTATTATATGAGATACCACTACACAGGGGCCGCAGCCATTCCCTGTTCTAGTTATACGGGCCCTCTTTTTGGAGCAAGGGTTTCCTAGAGCCCTTCAAGCTCCCGAGCCCTCTAATTAAACCCTAGACCCTAAAGAAACCCTAAAGCCTAAACCCTAAGGCCTAAACCCTCAACCCTCAACCATAAACCCTCAACCCTCAACCCTAAACCCTAAACCCTAAACCCTAAGCCCTAACCTGACTCACGTTTTGGAGGTGCCGAAGAAGATGAACGCGGCCGACCTGAAAGACGAGCTGCGCAAGCTTGGGCTTCCCACGACTGGCAACAAGGTTTCGGTTTAGGGTTTAGGGCTTAGGGTTTAGGGTTTAGGGTTTAGGGTTTAAGGTTTAGGGTTTGGGGTTTGGGGTTTGGGGTTTGAGGTTTTGGGAGTGCTCGGGGTTGAGGCTTTACCAGAGCATGCAACTGCCCTCGGCTAGCTCCTTTGTTTAGCGGGGGTTTCGGGTTTGGGTTGAGAAATTGTACTAACCCCTACGAACCCTGAACCCCGAGAGTGCGTCGAGGGCCCTAAAAGCATCTAAGCCCCCAAAACCCTAAAGCCCTAAAAAGTCCTAAGCCCCTCAAATCCCCAAAAGTCGTAAACCCCTAAGGCCCCTATTGTAACAAGTCCCAAAACTGAACCTCTAAAGCCGTAAAGAGCCCAAGCCCCCAAAACCCTAAATGTCATAAGCCCCTAAAACCCTGATCAGACGTTAAAATCTCTAAAGCTCAAAAAAATCCTGAGCCCCTGAAACCCAAACAGTCCTTCGCCCGCAAAACCCTAAACCCTAAACCCTAAACCCTAAACCCTAAACCCTCATCCCAAGATTTTGGCCAGGCGGAGCTCACGTCTCGGCTCCAGGAGGCCCCTCAAAAAAGCTCTGGCAGAGGGGAGTGGGGGTTTAGGGTTTAGGGTTTAGGGTTTAGGGTTTAAAGTTTAGGGTTTAGGGTATGGGGTTTGGGGTTTCGTGTTTAGGGTGTGGGCTGTAGGGTTTGGGGTTTGGGGTTTAGGGTATGGGGTTTAGGGTTAAGTGTTTAGGGTATGGGGCGTAGGGTTTGGGGTTGTTACAGTAAGGGTTAGGGTTTAGGGTTTAGGTTTGAGGCTTGAGGGTTTAGAGTTTAGGGCTTTCAGGGTTAGAGTTCTTGGGTTATAGAGATTTGGGTCTGGGGTTTTACGGGTTAGAGTTTTGGGGTGGCTACCTCCAAACGCAGTTTGGGGTCGACGCCAGCGTCGAAGCCGACACGATTTGGCAAGCTGTTTTTCTGTTGGGAAGGCAGGGTTAGGGTTTAATTTCGGGTTTAGTGTAGGGTTTAGGGTTTAGGGTTTAGGGTTTAGGGTTTAGGGTTTAGGGTTTAGGGTTTAGGGTTTAGGGTTTAGGGTTTAGGGTTTAGGGTTTAGGGTTTAGGGTTTATTGGGTTTATTGGGTTTATTGGGTTTCTTAATAAGGCAGCTAAAATTTTGATTTTTAGCTACCCTCCTAAGTGCAGCCAAGGGAGTTGAGGGGTTTATCTTGGGGTGCACCCGCAGCTCTGACATGATAATGCAGTTTTTGTCAAACGAGGAGCACTGCTTCCTTCTCGCCCAACCCCTACCCACTCGACCCACTCTACCTACTCACCCTAAACCCGAAACCCCCTAAACCCTAAACCCTAAGCCCCCTAAACCCTTAACCCCACTTAAAACCCTATTAAAACCCTAAACCCAAAAACCCTAAAACCCTAAAACCCTAAACCCTAAACCCTTCCCCATGTACCGCTTTGCCTACCGCCAGGCCAAGCAGCCAGCAAAATGAATGCCAGTGGTGAGGCGGGGCAGGAACCCGAAAGGTCCCAGACTCGGGCAGTCCCCTACTAAGCCCCCCTAAACCCTAAACCCTAAACCCTAAACCCCTAAACCTTGTAAACTTTCAAATTACGGACCGATGCTATCAGGGGGTAACATCCCAACCTAAACCCCTGAACCCCCCCTTAGCCAAGGGACTCGAAGCCTCTAGCCCTAAACCCTAAACCCTAAACCCTAAACCCTAAACCCTAAACCCTTGTGCGCAGATTCCCGCCATATCCGGAGTTCCTCGCCTTGCCGAAGGCGCAGGGCGGAGGGGGGGGGAGGAGCCTCAACTTGCCTCTGAGTGAGAAGGCATTCCTTCTTGCTTTTGGAATACCTCGGGTCTCATAGCCGCATAATGGCAGAGTTCTGGGGTGTAGTAACATAGTAAGATTGCTGAACAAGAAGATCCCCAAACCTGATCGGAAACCCAAGTTTATAGGCCTTCGCTGGCACTCCACGAGGCTTGCTGATGCCCAAATGATCGTCGAGCTTAAGTGGAACATGACGACCACAGCGCCATAGTGCCCGCCATCAAATCAAATACCCTCCAGTACCGAGTTTCGCACCGGGTGGCCTTGGCATGGTTCCCTGGGTGGACAGGTCGAACAGCTCCTGCTGCTTCCTGTGTGACGGGCACCCGACTGTGTGAGTGTTTATGAGCCCACTTGCATGCCTACATTCCGTATGCTTTCCTTGTTTTCCTTGGTGGAATTTTGGACTCAACCTACTTGCGAACTTTTCTCAGAGTCTTTAGCAAGAGGGCTTCAGTTGCCAATGCCAGTGCGCACCTTGATGCGCAGTCCTTAATTAGTTGACGCTCGTCCGTCAACACCAGTTGACGGAGTGCAGCGCGCACGTGTGAAATGAACGAAGAACTTGGCTGATGACAGCCCTCCATGGCCGTGCTCAAAGTTGGCTTGCATAGGTGTACCAAGTGTGCCTCAAACCTAACCTCCAAGCCCGAACCTTATTTCGGCCCTACTGTAACCCCCATACCCCCCAAGCACTCCTACGCCTGCAAGCCCGGCACACTGCGCCACGGAGTTCGGAGCAAGAAGCGGAAGAACCCATGGAAGAAGCACAGGGCATCCTTCGGCCAGTAGTTTCTGTCCCTTAATCGGAAATGATAGCGGGAAAGGAAGAGTGTGTCCGATCTGGCCTCTTAAATGTGTGTGAAGGCATATACGGTGACGGGGCAGTATGAATCTCAGCTTTTTTTTTGTGTGGGTTTAGGGTTTAGGGCTCAGGGAGCTGACCTTGTGTGCGAGAGGCCGTTTTCATCTTCTCCTTTTTCTTATTCTTATTGCTTTTGCCTATTCCTACTATTGCTACTAATGCTAGTGCTATTGCTATTGCTGCTATTGCAACTCCTGTTGTCAGGGGAGCTAGCCCGAATCGCATCTAGCAGGGAAGAGTTGGGGGGCACCCCCCCTTGAGGGGCGGTACTGGCGAGTGCTGTGAACAAACTCTTCTGAGGCCGTATCAGCTGAGCCTGGAGCTCGATTCGCGTCTCTTCGGGGTTAAAGCCCAAGCCCTAAGCCCTCAACTCAAACCCCAAATCCTGAACCCTAAATCTTATGGCGACTCATGTGGCAGGTATGTGTGGCCAGTTCTCTAGAGGATGGTGCCGCTCTAGAGGTCCCCTGATTAGCTTGGAGCGTTAGGCTACCCCCATGAGGGGCCATAAAGTCCCAGCCGGAGCTGCCTGGGAAGAAAATACGCCACTTAAGGTGCTGAACAGCTTCGGTGTGTGCAACGTACCCTACTAGGTAGGCCTTTGGGGCATTTTGTATTCTCCCTTATTGGGTCTAAGAGGATAATATTTCGTAACATTTTTTCAGATGGGGTCTTATGGGCCATCCTAGCCAAAACCCCAAGCCCTAGGCCGTGATTCGGGGTTTAGGGTTTAGGGTTTAGGGTTTGGGGTATAGGTTTTAGGTTTTAGGGTTTGGGGTTTAGGATGAGCCTTGAGGCTTTGCTTCTTCCGCCGACCAGCCGACGACGCCACTTTGCTTCATGGGATCAGAAACCCTAACCCTAAGGCTCCAAGGACTCTTATTCTAAGGTTTTCGGGCCCAAAAGGTCTGTTAGACCAGGTTTTTGGGCCTTTTGAGCCTAAGGGTAACCCCCCCTTTTTTGGGGGGAGTCCTAAATCAAGGCTCCGCATGGCCGTAGGCACTCCAAAGGGGACAATGGTCCAGAGAGAGCCACATTGCAGTTGCTTTGGCTAGAGGGCTGGGAGACTTCCGGGACTGCAAGCGATGAAGGTTGCGGCTCTACCGTCAACTTGCAAACTGTGGTAACCGGTAGTTTGAGAACAAAATCAAGTACCTTCCAAGAGCTGCGCAGATCTCACATCCCAGGAAGCGCCCCGACTGCTACCTGTTGAGCAACGGCTTGCTGGTTGCGGCTGTGGCGTGCTGGGGCAGCTCCGGAAGTCTTGCCGGCAGAAGTTTAAGGGACGGTGTGGTTTCGGGGTCGGGCAGAGTGAAGTTTCTGCACCAAGACTTTAAAAGGTGTTGGGCTCCGACATTGCAGGAAGAGAGAGATATGTGACATCAGCCATCACGGCTTAGGATTTAGGGGGCTTGCGGTTCACGGCACTCGGGAAGTCACCAGAACCAAACCGTTTTCGATGCGATCACTTACTGGGCTTGAGTACTGACATCAGCCAAGGACCCTGCACTTTAGCCAAGGGTCTGATCCCACATTGTGCTCTCCGGAAGCCCAATGAAGCCCAACGCATCACTTTGCGCCAGGCTTCGGCCGTTCTACCACAAGCTGGCTCGAGGAGAGGGTCCGGGCCTTCAGTTCCCAGGTAAGTGTCTCCTTGCGTGAGGTATGGATTTTGAGGCTCTTCTTGGCGCTTATCTTGTTGTGGAAAAGTTACCCGATGCACCTAGTTCTGGCATGTTCTGGCCCCACAGATTCCAACCCTGAACCTTGTCCTTGACCATGCTTCCCCTAAACCCTAAACCCTAAACCCTAAACCCTAAACCCTAAACCCTAAACCCTAAACCCTAAACCCTCTGCGCTGTGGAAGGCCCCATGCCCTCAGCACAGCTGCAATGGCAGGCCTGGGATTGCCTGGGAGAGCTCCTGTGTTGGGTTTGTCTCTGCCATGGTCTGCCTTTGAGGCGGTTTGGTTTAGGGTTTAGGGTTTAGGGTTTAGGCTTTGGGGTTTAGGGTTTAGGGTTTAGGGTTTAGGGTTTAGGGCTTAGGCTTAGGGTTGAGACGTGCTGGTACTTGATTGTGCAACTCTGTTTGTGGTAAATTTGCTGTCGCGCCGCCCTCAGAGGTAGTGCCCAACGCATCCACCCTAAACCCTAAATCCTAAACCCTAAACCATCCTAAACCATGTTTTTATCTTCATGTTCATCTTCTCGTCAGTGAGCCAACTTTTGGAGTCGGACCGATGCCTTTGTCCAGGCTGACTGCAAAGGTGCCTATATTCTCCAGGGTTCAGGGTTTACGGTTGAGGGTTTAGGGTATAGGTTTCAGTGCATCCTGAGCAGTTTTCCCAAGTTCTTGTTGGTTGAGCAAGGGTGAATTCTTGCGTGTGCCGCAACTGCGAAGCTTTGCATGTCGAATCTCAGCCGCTGCATCCTCACATCCAGAATTGTCGTCGAAATATGTGAGGTTTAGGGTCTAGGGTTTAGGGTTTAGGGTTTTAGGGTGTAGGGCTTAGGGTTTAGGGATTATAGGATCTTGAACCAGAATTTTGGTTTCCGTTCTTCGCCTTGCATGGGATGGCCCTACCCACAGGGAGTTTGCAGCACCGACTTGCACTCCCTGCGCACCGTTGGCCGGGTGCGGGGCTGGACACATATCCGGGTCGAGGAGCCGGGGGCCAAAGTGATTGACGATCACGCTTGAGTGGTACGCCACTCATTCATGGTACCTGCCCTTCTGGCCAACGTGTCCAGGTGCGGGACACATGACGGCAGGACAATGGGCTAATGTGCCTGCTGGGGGCTATGCCCATATAGGGCTGAGGCAGACCTGGGTACCAAGGCAGGGGAGGCCTTAGCGAAGTACGTAACTTCGGCGACACAGATCTGCTGCACACTCTGGACCTCCATTTGGTGTCGCACCGCCCTCGAAAGTAGTGCCATTTCATCTGTAGTTCGAGAATGTCATGTTCAACATTTTGTGAACAAGCTAGCGTTTGGAGATGGACCGATTTCTGAGTTCAGGTTGACAGCAAAGGTTCCTAGCTACATCCGCACATCCCGTATTGTGTCAGGAATGTGTGAGGGTTGTTCTACAGGTCCGTGTCTTCCGCTATACTTTGGGGGCTACCTTTTTGAGGTGGTTTCAAGGGGGCGCGAAAGAAGATGCGAAAGGAAAACACGTTTCTGCGAAAGGCCCAACACCCAAAGAAGCGCAAGATGAAGCTAGCTGGCTCCGAAGTTGTCAGGTGTCCGTAGGCTGTAGCCGAGATGCCGCCCAGTGTTCAGCCAGGCTGAGCCAAGGCAGCTCAACCGTTCCAGGATTGCTCAAGGAAATTGTGCGAAAGGCCCCCGCGCAAGCCTTGCGCTGCATTCCAGGCCTAGGCCCATGAGAGCTGCCAGACCTTTTGATGTTGATGCTTAAAGATAAGGCGGAATAAGGCGAGATCCGTAAACAGGTTCCGCGAAAGCTTCGCGAAAGAAGGCGCGGAAGGAATACATTTTTTCACGAAGGTTGGCTATATTTCCTTGTAAAGGAATGTTGAACAACCACCATGTGATAGTGAGTGTTTTGAACCAGAATTTTGGTTTCCGTTCTTCGCCTTGCATGGGATGGCCCTACCCACAGGGAGTTTGCAGCACCGACTTGCACTCCCTGCGCACCGTTGGCCGGGTGCGGGGCTGGACACATATCCGGGTCGAGGAGCCGGGGGCCAAAGTGATTGACGATCACGCTTGAGTGGTACGCCACTCATTCATGGTACCTGCCCTTCTGGCCAACGTGTCCAGGTGC